AGGTAGTTGAAACACAGTACCTTTCAAAAGAAGTGTTTCAGACTTGGCTTCCCAAATGTATGCTGAAAAGAAGTAAAGGAAATATGTTAATCTCGTGACAAAAGGAAAACGAACATATTATATTATAAGAATAATATTTAGAGACTATTTAATTCTTATTTTTGCATGCTTGTGCTAACCAAACACAAAATTTCAAGCTTAATGACTTGACCCCAGTATTAAAAACACTATGAAAGAAGACTCAGAATCTAAAGTTTCTCCTTTTAACTTTGGAAATAAAAAATGTTAAACCAGAAAAAAAATATTGCACCAAATTCCAAATAAAGAAAAAGCAGATTTGTACAATTCAATGATAAATTAAAATTTAATTTTAATAGATATCAAAATAAATCATGCTTAGAAATAAAAGCAATGATGTCTTCCCTTGTAAAATAAATATGATAATAATTCCTGCCTTATCAGATGATTCACTTAAAGTCCTGGCATGAAGAGATTGCTCAATATATTTTTGCTTCCTCTCTTCAAAGACAATGACCAAAATTTAACTATAAATATTCTGAAGTGTGGTAGCAATCATCTCAGGTAGAAACTGTAGTTTAACGTTAGCCCTGCTGTTTGGCTTCTGTACTTATTTGCTTTGTTTAACAATAAAAAAGTTACTTTGATTTTCTGAACTTATGTATGCTATCCCATTGATTGTGATCTTACTGGTTTTAGAAAGCACATTCTTCTGTACCTGGGAACCAGGACAGCACAATTACTTTAAATTGCCTCAGTGGCTCCAGGTAATGTGTCTCTGTTGATTCGGTGATGTGGAGACACAAAACTATAATTTAACTAACTTGCTCAATTCCGCTTCTGTAACTGCTTTGTGCAAATCAGGTTCCTCATTCCAAACCCAAAGATGTAATCGATATCTTTGTAATATTTGCCTATTTAAGTGTGATGTTGCCACCGTTTTGGGACTGGGAGATTCGGAGCCATAACTCCCTCTCAGTCGCCGGCTTGTTAAATGACTCATTAATCTGGTCTTGCATCCTGAGTATTTACTCTCGGGGTACATTACAACAATTCTTCCTGGTCACTTAGGACAAAATAAATTATGATGGGAATTTATTTTTTAGTCTTAGATCAAAAGCAGAGAACTGCAGTAGAGATACAGAAATCTTTAGAAAATTACTTCCTGCCTTCCAAGAATGCACTCCCATCTCCTCTCACACAATGACACTATTGGACTTGGCAATAGTGACTAATATTCTACCCACTATTTTGATACTTTGATGTCAATAATTAACAGAGTTAAATATTTAAAATTTATAGTAACTCTTGAAAATTTCATTATTTTTACAGAATTATAAATCAATTAAGGGTGAAAAAAAACAACAATAAAAGAAAGAGCATAAAGGCACTTCATGGGAAGCTAATCATGTGATGTAAAACACAAGTTCTCTAAAATTATAAGATCTGGGTTTCAATTCCAGCTACACACATAAGCGCTGTGTGTCCTTGCCTGTGAAATGGAGATGATACTGAAGTATGGTACCTATTTGCTTTGTTTAACAATGGACAGGTTATTTTGATTTTCTGAATTGTATAAATCATCCCTTTTGATTGAATGCCTTATTGATTGAATGCCTGCCTATCCCATTAATTGTGATCTTACTGGTTATCGAAGCACATTCTTCTGTATTGGGAAACAGGACAGCACAATTACCCTAAATTGTTTTAGTGGCCACAGGTGGTGTGTTCCAGCTGACTTAGTGGTCCCGAGACCATAACAGTATAATTACTCTAAATTGTCCTGACAACTCAGTGGTCAGGGGACCCGAGGGCTCTAGATAACATGTTTCTATCAACTCAGTGATCCAGAAACCCAAAACTGTAATTTAGATAACATGCCTAAGTTTAACCCAGGTTACCCAAGGGCTCTAGATAATGTATTTCTGTCAATTCAGTGACCCCGAGAACCGAAACTGTAATTAACATGCTTAATTCTGCTTCTGTAACCTGCTTTTTTTGCGAGCCAGGTGCCTCATTCCAAACCCTGAGATGTAATCAATACCTGTGTGATTTTTTGCCTATATAATCCTGGAACTGTGACTAAATGGTTACTATGAGATTTGGGAATGACCCTTCATAGTCCTGGATTGCAATAAATGTGACTCTTTAATTCGACTTCTTGAGGCGTCCTTCTGTGATTCGCGGGGTACATTGCAACAATACCTGCTGAGATTGAAACAGTGAATACAGTACATTCAGGTCACTGCTTGTTTCTCAGTATTCACTCATTTATTCATTCATTTAGCAAATATTTCATGAGATTTTACACTATGTCTGGCAATGAGTTAGGCACTGGAAACAACAGTGAACAAGTAGACATGGTTTCTGAGCTCCAGCTTAACACGGCAGAAGAGGCAGACTTTTAGAATGACACAAAAAATAGCTTGATAAATAGATGAAAGCTATTCCTGACTAAAAATTAGTTCCCTTTCTCTTCTCCTCAGTTGTAATAAAGGGAACACCTGTTCTTTCTACTTCCACTAATGAGAATTATTAATGAATGTGAATCCACTTTGGAAATTCTGAAGCTCTCTACAAATGTCCATTGCTGTATCTGTAACACAAATTTATCAAGTATGTGCTAATTGCAAGGCCCTAGGCCTAGGGAATGTACACAGATGAGTTGGACACAAGTTCTGCCTGCCCCTGCTGGGGAAGTGTAGGGCAACTGGACACTGTGAGCTATTATTCCAGGCAGAAAGTACTGAGAGGTGCTTTAAGAGAGAGAGCGAGAAAGTAATTGCTTATTTGGAGGAGGCAGAAACAGGCTCAGGTGGGAGTGCTCAGGGAAGACTTTATGAAGCAGGTGCGTAAGAACTGGCCTTGACAAATGGAGCTTTTGGACTTGAGATCAGGAAACAGAAAGAGCCAAAGTACAGAAGTCGAGGAACAAGGGGCAACAAAGAAACAATATGTGGTGCATTTTGGTTAAATCAAACGAGGTATTAATGGCAGTATTGGGCGATAAGAGTGTGGCCGAAAGGGGCCACATGCTAACCTGACAAGCTCAGGGAAGGCCTGCATGGCAGTCTTGCAAACTCAGAGACCTAAAGTAACCACAAAGGATGGTCTGAAATTAAACTTTAAAAGCAGTTATGGTGGGTAGTTACATCCTAAGCAGGTATCTTCCCTGACAAGGTCAATCTTTACCTTAATTGAGCCTATCTGTCCTTTTGCATCTACATACCCTTGAAATGTCTGGGTAACTTGTAACTTCCCTTTTTTTGGACCCCTAGGAGCACAGCCTAATGTGCCTGGGTGCCAGGACAGATACCACAAATTCCTTCATTATTATCATGTTAATTGTTCCTGCACCCACCTACATCCCTTCCTTTGATTGCAATATATAAATATAGATGTAACCCACCATTCTCCAGAGCATTATCTCAATTCATTGAGGTTCTGTTTCCTGGCATATGTAGACAGTTTGGCTCAAATAAAGTCACAAAATTCTTTACAGGTTTCAATGGTTTTTTTTTACCTTAACAAGAGCTTGACAAGTAGTTTGAGATCAAATCCTAAAGGACTTTGAATACCAAGTTAAAGAGTATGACCTGTCTTTGACAGCTGAAAGCCACATAAGAAATTTGAGCAAGGGAGTCAGGAGAGGAGCACTCATCCTACAACAGTGTGTCGAATGGGTCATTGTGACTATTGATATAACCTTGCTGAAAGGTACCAGAGAGATCTTTTGAAGTTTTGTATTTTGGTCATCTTAAAATCCAGGGTCCTGAAGCTCTCAGAGATGGAATGGTCTTGGGAACTTGAAGTATTTTTATATTTGGTAGAAAATTAACCAAATATAAAATTATATTGATGCAGGTAGAAAATTAACTTCTGCTTTGAATACTATGAATTTCATAATATAGGTCCAAAGAAGTCACAGTTCTTTGGTGAATCTAAAGCACTCTTTGTAAACACATCTTTCTTTTGTCTTCGTAGGGGTCACATTTTCTACAATCTCATATCATAGAAATAGGGGAGACACCAGGAGATAAAAACAATTGTTTGAAAAACTAAGCTGCTATGACTCACCATTCTCAAAGGTACATGCCAGACTGCATGCCTGCCTGCCTCATATCCCCTCAGGGCTATAACTAGCCGTCAGTAATAACAGATCTGAGCCGCTTAATGAAATATCCCTGCTTCTGGAACTCCCATAGGCCATGTGCACAGAACAAGCTGACCCTGACCACCTCCCTCCACACCCATGAGCCTCTCAGAGCCAAAACAGATGTGGGAGGTGAGTGGTACACCCATGAGCCTCTCCCAGCCAGAACAACTGTGGGAGGTGAGTAGTGGCTGGTCAGCCAATCAATAAGCAGCTGACAGAGACAGGCTCCATTTGTGACTCTACAGAAGTGGTGGAGGAAGCCAAGTTGCCCTGCCCAGTTGGGTTCAGACACTTTGGACTGAAAGAGAATAACAGATGTTCATTTAAGGAAAAAACACACACCAACAACAAAACCCAAATACAAACCCCAAACATAATTTTACTACACAATCACATGCCAGTGAATAGTTGAAGAATAAGAACATTTTTTGCCAGCCCTCACAGGGCGTCTGGAAGACAGACACAGAGAAGGGTCTGCATATTTCTCATCTCTGTCACATTTCCATGATGAACTCCAGAGAGTGTGAGACACTGTCTTGGTATGCTCCGCAGAGGAGCTCTCAAGGCTTGTACTGGGTTTGTTCAGAGCCAGAGGCAAATATGGGACTGGCCTTCCTATTCCCAAGGCAAGGAGAACTAATTATGTAGGAGCAAGATAGGTAGCTGAAGATTTTATCAATATTACTTCATGAAAAAGTCATCATGTTAAATAAACACATTTGGCATGAATTTACCAACATAGAGGAAAGTGATATCAAGTCATCCAGATAAGCTGTTAAAGAATTCAAAGTCCAGAACTTAAAATTCTCTTCATCCAAATAAGCAACCAGCAACTAGGGTTGGGCCCTCAGTCCTGAGCTGATTGTGTAAGAAGAGGAGGCAGCCAGAGGCTAAGCTCTTTCTCCAAATGATGGTCAAGTAAGTGAGAAACTCCCATAGAGAGGGGTCTATCACAGGGCCTGTGCTTCAGAAGCATCACCTTGCTGCCTTGGCTCAAAGGCCAGCATACTCCTTGCTGAGGTGTGACATTAGCTCTGTAATGCCACGGAAGGTGCCAGAAAGGTCTTGAAAGGCTGTTTGGGCTGGATTTGGGGCTCTAGTCTATACTTATGACTCTTTCTTATCTGAAACTGCCTCCAAAGCCTTCCTAGTTCAATTCTGAGAAGACCTAAATTTCTACCTCAGTGCCAGGATTTCCTGACCACCCAAATCTCCCCTGGGACATTACTCTGTACTGAGGAAAGGGCCAAATTGGGTTCCAAAGTAAGCTGGAGGTTATGCCTATCCAAGGCAGACTTTCTTAGTAATTCACTGTTAAGGTAGAACTGTGGGGTAGAGATAAATTTACTTTAAGAATCTTAGGTGATACCTGTGAGGATATAGGAATAGTACTGGACTCCAGTAGGCACTCAGACTGATGTGCTGGACCTTAAAACAAAACACTAGAGGTAGGTCAAGAGGCCCAGGGTTCATAAAATAGGGGTCATAGGCAGAGCTGGGACAGATCTAGTTTAGGAATAGATACCTGAGTCTAGGTATATTGAATCGCCTAAAACTATGATTCATGGGTACCCTTAATTGCTTTCAGTGACTGCCATCCCAGGGGATGCTTCCCACTTTGTTATACACTGTGTTCAGTATAATTAATTAATGAAGTTATCTTGGATTTCTGAAGATGCTTCTTGACACAACAGACTTAGACTTTTCCCTTTGAGGTAAACATACACCTGTTGTTTCTGCTGCCAATTTGCACAGGGTGGGAAAGATTAAATTTTTTAAATTATTGATACAATGCATCTTACTTTACATGTCTCTTTTCAGATTGTTTTAAGGACCTCCCCTTGAAGGTTTTTGTTATTCAATAAAAATTTAATCCTGAGAGAAGGCCACCAAAATTAATCTATCTCAACAGGTACTAAATGTCACAACAAATCATTTAAATTTTGTTTGCAACATTATTTTGAAATCTGAGAGGAAAAATGTGAACTTTATTTTATTTTAAATTTGGAAAATTTAGTTGTAATGACAAATGTACACTAAATTCTTAGAATGATGAAAGAGAGTCAGATATTGATTTGAGAGGTAATTAAATTTTTCCAACAAATCCCAACAAAATTGCATAACATGATCTAGTATCCATCACTTCACAGTTAGACTTTTACAGCACAGTCCCAATAAGGATCACATTTTTAAGCCTATTCAATGGATTTTCAATGGCTTAATTGATTTTCTGAGAGACTTATTTTAATCTATTGATATCTAAATAATTTTCATTTGAAGTACCAATCATTTTTTTTTATTTTTGTTGACCTTCTCTTCTGTCAGCTTATTTTTTAATACCTTTGCATGTAATTTCAATATTTCTTCACCATTTCTTGCTAAAGGTACTAATTGATGGACAACGTTGTTATACAGAGAAGAATGTTTGGTAATCAGCATTGTTAGTGGACAACTCCACTATTTTTGTGTTATGATGACATGTGATTCCTATGCTGTACCATTATATGACAACTCTGACATCTCTGGTTTTTCATATAAATTTTTCTTTGCTCAAAAGGAGTAAAAATTTATTGCATCAACTCATGCATAGTAATTATAAAAACCATAGACTCCTAGGATTTTCAAGGCAAAACATTCAACTGGATTAACCACTCACCTAATGCTTAAATTCTCTGCTAAGGAATACCTATTTTAACATTTAATCCAACAAGGAGCTTACTGCCTTTCCAGGCATCTCTCTTCATCTTTGAACAGCTCTTACATTTATAACATTTTCTTTATTAGTAAACTGAAATGTTATCTAGTATTTGGACATAAGAAAGAATATGCTAGAAAAGCACAGTGAGGAAAAGCGAAGGGAAAAAATCAACCGGATTGTTTTTCCCATTGAGGTAAGTTGAGTTTGAATAGTTGGGAGAACATTTAACTAGCACTATTACACAGGAAAGAAATTGGTTCTTTTAAATATGTCAGGTTGTCACACACTAAACATCTATAGAACAAATAGTTTCAAATTTCTCTCTAAGCACTTGTGATACTTCAATAAACTGGGTGAATATTATTTATTTACACATGATAAAGTATGTTTTTAAAAAAAACACTTTAAACATAATCTCTGGGTTTAAAATATTGTTTTATGTTATATTTCTATCTATAATCACTCACTCATAAAGAAATCTTGATAATTCAGACATACTAGCGCAATATGAATAGGTGGGCATGGGTCATGTTTTAATGTTCATCTATTTTGAGACAACATTCAATTAAAAACTAAAATTAAAACCACACTCTTTTAAAAATAAAATAAGTTATTTTATTTCTAAAAATATAATTAAAACCACAATCTTCTTCCTGCCTTATTCTTTATTTTAAGTTTTAAACTTTGGCCAAGTTAATTTAGGTCCAACATGGTAAAAACAAATTCTTTCCATCTAATTCCAAATTTATATGTAGGAAAAAGTTTCTTTAACCAAGTTGTTAAAATCCTTAATGAAATCACTGCTCCTCAATTTCTAAATTACGCAATTGTGCTGTTCTTTAATTGGAAGCAGAGGCTCCAAGCCTCTGATTTCCTCTCATATATGATTCATTGTTCCATGTACAGTGTGAGATGTACCTAGGGCATCTCATAGTTCCAGTGCATTTTGTGCAACTCGAACTCAAACCATCAAGTGGTTTTCTCCTGAAGACCATAGCCTTGAGAACATGTATTTCTTTTGCTCCTCTAGGGCATCTTCTATATCAAACTCATTTCTGTTGGTTTGGTTAAAGTTCAAAACCTTTGCGGGAGGCGATCTCAGGGTGCCAAGCTCCACTCAGGTATTATGTTGCAGGCATGCATTCTCATTACACCTTTCAGCTTGTTCTAACTTCAATCATCACCAGGTTTCCATAGTTACCACTGGGATCAGTGTCTGTTTCCTAGCTCACTTCTAGGCCACGGGAGCCTTGAGTTTTCTCTTGGAAATTCTCTGCTCCCTGTTGAGGACTTTGAAGCAGGAATGAAACATTGATGCTTTAGGAAAAACACAATAATGGCCATTCGGGGGATGGATTGGAGAGGGTGAGTCTGGTGGTGAGATGACCAGTTGGAAGACTTTCACAGCCATGGAGGTGAGAGCCAACTGGAGATACAAAGTGTAAACACAGTTCTGGCTTCTGATTTCATGACAGGAAATACTTCATAGGTACATCTCCTTCCAATGTTTGACCGTTTATCTTTGTACTTGGTGTTTAGCTCCTCTATCTGACCCTTTAGTTCCTTCCCAAGTTGTCTCACTAGCCTTAGGCTGAGAGTCTTAGTTTATAACTGCTCTTGTGCAGGCACCATTTCCACCACTATTAGCTGAGTATTAGCTTTGTGGTTGGCAAATTTCATAAATTAAAAATAACCATTCACACTCCAGTTTATAGAAACAAATATAATATAGTAATTACCAGGATCGGAGGAAAGGGAGAAACAGGGAGTTATTGTTTCACAGGTACATAGTTTCAATATGAGAAGATAAAGAATTTCTGGAGATGGACAGTGGTGATGGTTGCATAACAATGTGAATGCACTTAATGCTGCTGAACTACACATTTAAAAATTGTTAAAATGGTAAATGTCATGTTATGTATATTTTACAATAACAACAAAAGATTGAGAACTTCTCAACGAAATCAACCCAGAAGCTTGGCCCACTTTGGCACATTTTATTTGTGTGAGCTGACAAATTCTCTGTTGTTTATAGTAGTTAGCTGTGAATTTTCTGTTATTTGTAATTAACCTTATTATTTATATAAAAAAATTAACCGTTCCAATTTTTATAGATGAAAAAACTGAGGCTAGGGAAAGTTAGCAGCTTGCCAAAGTCACACAACTAGTGAGCAACAAACCTGGGATTTCAATCTAAGTTTTGTTTGTGAATTTCATGCGGCCTTCTTATAGGCAAACCAAATCTTATTCAATGAATGAATGAAATGTCCAAATATGGGATTGTTCTCCAACCAGGATTTTTTTCCCCTCAATCTAAACTGTTTCTCTCATGTTTGATGCAGTTACTTACTAACATTTATTTGTACTGCGTCTGAATTTTCCCAAAGGCTTTTGCCAAAATCCAACATCACAAATTATTTGTAAAGGGACCACATGTCTTTATTTTCCATACTTAAATTTTATATAAAAATAACATTTAGGACTTTGGAATGTTACTTTTTAACATATTGAGAATGAATTCCGCTTTGAACTTTTTAACTCACTTTGAAATCCACATTGTATTTGATCTTTAGTCTGGAATATTTGCAACAGACTTTGGTTAAAAACATGTAAGTTATAACAATGTAGTTTTTTAAACAGAGCTTTCTAATAAGATGTGATTACAAACCAATGTGACTGTTTTTTAAAAAACCCAGCAGGGTTAAAACTAATATCATTGACTTCAAAGCAGATTTCTTAAGACTTCTTAAGAAACTAGATAGTGATGGTTCAATTATTCAAACATAGGATGAGTACTTATTCTATTCCAGACACTCAGAGAATTTTTGAAATTTCTTTTTCATATTTCCCCAAAAACCAGTTAATGAACCTTACAGGAAATATACTTTGTAGTCATCTATTATTTTGGCCTCAACCAGAATTATACAATTGATCATCTACCTCATTCAATAAACTTGGCTCCTAGAGACATCAGACTATGACTAAAACACAACTCCAACTTCAAAGGTTGAAAAATTGACAAAATTTAAGATATGCCAAAAGTTTCTTAAATGCAGCATATAACTACTTTGACAAGGCTAGCCCTTGGTAATATCTGATCACCCCATCTTAAATAGTGAGATTTTTCCTTCATTTACTATTACTTTTTTCTACATTGATTTTCTTTAGGGTACATATCTCTAACTAATAGAATGTGAGTTCCATAAGAGCACAGATTTTTATCTGTTGCTTTATGCCCAACACCCAAAAGGTGCTCCATAAACAGTTTTATAATAAATAAATTAATAAGATTCCTAATTCTTTATATAAAACTAGAGGCCCAGCCCACTCTCACCACCCCTGTTCGACATAATACTGGAAGTATTAGCCATTGCAATTAGATAAGAAGAAGAAATAAAAGGCATCCAAATTGGAAAAGAAGAAGATGGCGGCATAGGTTAACGCTGGAGTTTGCTGCTTTGAACAACTACTTCAAAAGTGAAACTAAAAGACGGAACAGACGTCACCCAGAACCACAGGAACGCTGGCTGAGTGGAAGTCCTACAACTAGGAGGAAAGAGAAACGCATACGGACACTCAGAGGAGGCGCAGTGCTGAAGTCAAATTCTGAGGTGCGGAGTTTGCGGAGCGGGCTGGCGGCGGAGGGCGCAGTTGGCGTTTTCAATCGGGAGGGAGTCGCAGACTCTGAGCTCCAGATACAGACAAGTCTTTAGGGACCCAGACTCAAACAGGAGAAGCGGGACTGTCTGGCTTCGGTCAGAGCGAGTGCAGCTTTCTCTCCGAGCTTTGCAATGGGTGCTGGGACTCAGAGAGACAGAGCCCCTGGGTACAGGACTGAGAGCCGCCATAACTGCTCGCTCAGCCCGCCCTGTTGATCCTGTGCGACCCGCCCCGACCAAGCCCTGCACAGAGCCATTTGCCAGATTGCCTCAGGCAAAGGCTAGATTAGCACCTCCCTAGAGGACAGAAGTTCTCTCACTGCTGACACAGCTGATTCTCATAGCCACTTGGCCTGGAGGTCAAACCCTCCCTGGTATTAGCTACAACAATCAAGGTTTAACTATAAGACTTCGAACAAAGACCACTAGGGGGTGCACCAAGGAAGCATAACAAAATGCGGAGACAAAGAAACAGGACAAAATTGTCAATGGAAGATATAGAGTTCAGAACCACACTTTTAAGGTCTCTCAAGAACTGTTTAGAAGCCGCCGATAAACTTAATGAGATCTACAAGAAAACTAATGAGACCCTTGATCTTATATTGGGGAACCAACTAGCAATTAAGCATACACGGACTGAAATAACGAATATTATACAGACTCCCGACAGCAGACCAGAGGAGCGCAAGAATCAAGTCAATGATTTTAAATGCGAGGAAGCAAAAAACACCCAACCAGAAAAGCAAAATGAAAAAAGAATCCAAAAATGCGAGGATAGTGTAAGGAGCCTCTGGGACAGCTTCAAGTGTACCAACATCAGAATTATAGGGGTGCCAGAAGATGAGAGAGAGCAAGATATTGAAAACCTATTTGAAGAAATAATGACAGAAAACTTCCCCCACCTGGTGAAAGAAATGGACTTACAGGTCCAAGAAGCTCGGAGAACCCCAAACAAAAGGAATCCAAAGAGGACCACACCAAGACACATCATAATTAAAATGCCAAGAGCAAAAGATAAAGAGAGAATCTTAAAAACAGCAAGAGAAAGAAACTCAGTTACCTACAAGGGAATACCCATACGACTGTCAGCTGATTTCTCAACAGAAACTTTGCAGGCCAGAAGGGAGTGGCAAGAAATATTCAAAGTGATGAATGCCAAGAACCTACAACCAAGATTACTTTATCCAGCAAAGCTATCATTCAGAATTGAAGGTCAGATAAAGAGCTTCACAGATAAGGAAAAGCTAAAGGAGTTCATCACCACCAAACCAGGATTATATGAAATGCTGAAAGGTATCCTTTAAGAAGAGGAAGAGGAAGAAAAAGGTAAAGATACAAATTATGAACAACAAATATGCATCTATCAACAAGTGAATCTAAGAATCAAGTGAATAAATAATCTGATGAACAGAATGAACTGGTGATTATAATAGAATCAGGGGCATAGAAAGGGAATGGACTGACTATTCTTGGGGGGGAAAGGGGTGTGGGAGATGCGGGAAGAGACTGGACAAAAATCGTGCACCTATGGATGAGGACAGTGGTTGGGGAGTGAGGGTGGAGGGTGGGGCGGGAACTGGGAGGAGGGGAGTTATGGGGGGGAAAAAAGAGGAACAAATGTAATAATCTGAACAATAAAGATTTAATTAAAAAATAAAATAAAATAATAAAAAAAAACCAAATTGGAAAAGAAGAAGTAAAACTGTCCCTATTTGCAGATGACATGATATTGTACATAAAAAACCCCTAAAGACTCCATCAAAAAACTATTAGACTTAATAAATGAATTTGGCAATGTAGCAGGATACAAAATTAATGCCAAGAAATCTATGGCATTTCTATACACTAATAGTGAACTTAAAAAAAGAGAGACTAAAAAATCAATCCCATTTACCATCACACCAAAAAAATTAAGATACCTAGGAATAAACTTAACTAAAGAGGTAAAAGACCTCTACTCAGAAAACCACAGGACGTTGAAAAAAGAGATAGAGGAGGACAGAAACAGATGGAAGAACATACCATGTTCATGGATTGGTAGAATCAACATCATTAAAATGTCCATACTACCCAAAGCAATCTATAAATTCAATGCACTCCCCATTAAAATACCAATGGCATATTTCACAGACCTAGAACAAACTCTCCAAAAATTCATCTGGAATAAAAAAAGATCCCGAATAGCTGCAGCGATCCTGAGAAAGAAGAACAAAGTAGGTGGGATCTCAATACCAGATATCAAGATGTATTACAAAGCCACTGTTCTCAAAACTGCCTGGTACTGGCACAAGAACAGACATATAGATCAATGGAATAGAATAGAGAACCCAGAAATCGACCTGAACCAATATGCTCAATTAATATTTGACAAAGGAGGCAAGAACATACAATGGAGTCAAGACAGTCTCTTCAATAAATGGTGGTGGGAAAATTGGACAGATACATGCAAAAAAAAAATGAAACTAGACCACCAACTTACACCATATACAAAAATAAACTCAAAATGAATAAAGGACTTAAATGTAAGACTGGAAACCATAAAAATACTAGAGGAATCCAAAGGCAACAAAATCTCAGACATATGTCAAAGCAATTTCTTTACTGCTACTGCTCCTAGGGCATTGGAAACTAAAGAGAAAATAAACAAATGAGACTACATCAAAATAAAAAGCTTTTGCACAGCAAAAGAAACCATCAACAAAACAACAAAAAAGCCCACTGCATGGGAGAACATATTTGCCAATGTTATCACCGATAAGGGTTTAATCTCCAACATTTATAGGGAACTCATACAACTTAACAAAAGGAAGATAAACAATCCAATCAAAAAATGGGCAAAGGACCTAAATAGATACTTTTCAAAAGAGGACATTCAGAAAGCCAAGAGATATATAAAAACATGCTCAAAGTCACTAATCATCTGAGAGATGCAAATGAAAACAACAATGAGGTACCATCTCACACCTGTCAGAATGGCAATCATCAGCAAATCAACAAATGACAAGTGCTGGCAAGGATGTGGAGAAAAGGGAACACTCGTGCACTGCTGGTGGGAATGCAGACTGGTGCAGCCACTATGGAAGACAGTATGGAGCTTCCTCAAAAAGTTAAAAATGGAACTCCCATTTGACCCATGATCCCACTTCTAGGAATATATCCCAAGAAACCAGAAACACCAATCAGAAAGGATATATGCATCCCTATGTTCATAGCAGCACAATTTACCATAGCTAAGATTTGGAAACAGCCTAAGTGCCCATCAGCAGGTGAGTGGATTAGAAACTGTGGTACATCTACACAATGGAACACTATGTTGCTGTAAAAAAGAAGGAATTATTACCATTTGCAACAGCATGGATGGAACTGGAGAGCATTATGCTAAGTGAAATAAGCCAGTCAATGAAAGAAAAATACCACATGATCTCAGTCATTTCTGGATAATAAAGGCCATTATAAACTGATGAACAAAAATAGATACAGAGGCAGAGCAGCATTGAACAGACTGTCAAACTTCAGCGGGAAGGCCTGGGATGGTTCGGGGGGCGGGGGGTAAGAGATCAACTGAAGGATTTGTATGCATGCATATAAGCATAACCAATGGACACAAAACACTGGGGGGTAGGTGAGGCCGAGGGAATGTCAAGGGGCGGGGGGAAAGAAAAGGAGACATATGTAATACTCTTTGTAATAGTTTAAGCAATAAAACAATTATTTTTTTTAAAAAAAAGAACTTGAATGCATATATGCGTAACCCAAGGATACAGACAATAGTTTGGTGAAGGCCTGGAGAGATGCGTGCAGGGAAGGGTTGGAAAGGGTCAATGGGGGAAAAATAGGGTACATCTGTATTACTTTCAACAATAAAGATAATATTTAAAAAAACAAACTAGAGGCCCAGTGCATGAAATTCGTGCATGGGTAAGGTCTCTAGCAGCTGTCAGCTGCCGGCTGGGGCCTCCCTTCCCCAGCTGCTGGCTGCCAGCCAGGGTCTTCCTTTGTTCCGTGCCACTCCCTGGTGGTCAGCGCACGTCATAGTGAGCGATCGAACTCCTGGTTGGACGAACTCCCAAGGAGACACTTTGCATATTAGGCTTTTATATATAGAGATAGATACTTTGCTTCAATTTCACAATTCCATAATTAAATGCAAGTATAAGATTCAATTTTTATGATTTATAGTGCTATTTCTTCTGTTGCTACTATTAGTATTTAATGAATAGAGATTAAGTGACCCTCTAGTGCCAATAGAAGTGTAGATATTTTTCCTTCTGTCTTTCTTTCTTTAAAGTGATAAGTTATAGTTGGGTTGTCTTCTGGGGTTGTGCTGACTCTTCTAACTGTATTTGATTGGTACACACTTAAAAGTTTTTTGCTTTCACTATATGCAGGGTGCAAAGAAAAAGGCAAACCAAATGTTCTCATCAGCTTAAAGATTTTGGAAGAACAAGAACCCATATTTGAAGGTCAAAACAATCAGAAGAGTGATGCTCTACAAAATATCTTCTCAGAGAGAGGTGAGTGGTTTATGTTGGAGCTTCGGGGGAAATCCTGTGACATAGATACTACAGGGCCCAGATATTAAAGAATGAACTGCACGTTCATATGTGTGGTAAGAACCTGTGGAGAAAGGGTCAGAGGTGACATGTTGTTCAAGCTGTGGGCAAGTGAAAACCACCATGTGCTCCTTCCTTTCTCCCACCACAGCAGTCACTCCTCCTCCACATCCTTCACTCTTCTCATCTTCTAAAGGTTGTTCCCCAGCTGGGAAGATTCTTCATCTCCACCTGTACTCACTCCTTAAGTAACTTTTTTCCAGCCTCACGTTTTAAATAGCCTTTCAATGTTATAATTCCAGCCCTAGTCTTTCTTGAAATCCAGACTCGTGTACCAACTGGCTGCTCAAGCTCTGTGCCAGAATGTCTGACAGGATTTTCAGACAAAACATTTGATTGTCTCTGCCCCAAACGACTCCCATCAGCTCTGGCTTCAACACATATACCAAAGAGGATGACTTTTCTGCACCTACCCTGCTACTGGCACCCTAAATCAAGCTACTGTACCTTTCACTGGACTAGTACATTCTCTCCCTAACTGGTCTTCCCATGGCCATTCTGGCACCATACTCTATTCCCCATGTAGCACCTATAGTGATCCCTTTAACTAATATATCAAGTCTTGCTACATCCTTTCTTAAAATCCTTCAGCATCACTCTCCTGGGACACGCTTGTGAAGCAATCCCTGCTTCAATGCCTGTGTATTTGCTGTTCCCTCTACTTAGAATGTTCTTTGCCTCCCCACTACTTGAATGACTGGCTTCCCTAGCTTCGCTTAGGACCATTATACTTGACCCTCATCTAAAATGGCTTCCTTCTCTTCATCACCATTCACTCCCTTCCCTTTTAAAAAGTGCCTCCCAAGCATGTATTTAGGTGTAGACATATATAGTTTTTGTTTATATTCTATTGCTTGTTTTCTACCACTGGAATATAAGCTCCATGAGGTCAGGAGCTCACTCATATTATATTCCTCACAATATGAGCAATGCCTGGCATTGAATACATGTTTGTTCAGTGAACATATTGGGATCTTGTTGGTTAACCCCTCCTTATGTCAGGTGATGTTCTGAGTGATGCAATCAAAACCTGGGGTAAAAGGTCAATACGGAAAAACAAGAAGTGAAAGTCAAGGCAATCCTAGCAGGGCCGGTGCATGATGGGAACTGGGAAATGAGAATGAGAGGACTGTCAGACAATCTGTCACATCCTGCCGGACAGAGTGAGTATCTTGAGCTCTTATGGATGAGTGAGCTCTGAGACCAGGGGAACAACCATGCAAGATTTTCCAGGCGCCACACAGTGGCTGCCATGGGAAGCCTCTTTCTGGGTAAAACCTGCTCCAACAATCAAAGAAGCGAACCCGTCGGACAGAAATAAACTCTGTGCACATTGGCTACAGCCATGTCAGCACCGACTTTTACATAATGAAAAGTCAGCAGTGCTACTGCAGAGAGTACAATTAACTAGTATTTGTTTATCTTTTCCACTGGACTGTGAACTTCTAAAGGGAAGAGACTGTCTGATTCTCTATCATTCCTGGTACAAAGTCTGCACTCTTGGAGAACTTTTGAGAGAAACGCTGAAAGAAGGGAGAAGGAAAATGGATCACGACTCTTCTTGGCTATCCCTAAGAGAATGGAGAGCAGCATAATAAAAATTGTCCCTTCAAATCTGATTGATATAAATCTTTTTTATACATTAAATGACCAACGGTTAAGACTTTGAACCCCGTACTGTCCATCTCTTCCCAGCCTAGAACCATCTCTCCCAAGCAGCAAATCGATACACCCACAAGTTTACACTGCTCACACAGAATGGCAACCAATAAAAATAGGAACTTTAAATCACTGATATAAACATTTTTAAAGGAGCCATTAGTTCCTTTAAATAGCTCCTTAATCTCTGCTAAGGCAAGATCCTTCAATTTGTTCTAATTAGGAGTTTGACAACTTCTTAATTAAACAACTTTCCACCTAGAAAAAAAGTGCCTCCAAGATTTTTCCAATAAACTCTAAAGTAATTAAAAACAAATGAATAAAACAGAATATTAAAACTATTCTTCCAAATAGTTTTGGTCACTGTCCTATCAGGTAACTTTTGTATTTATTTATTTATTTATTTATTTATTTATTTATTTATTTATTTATTTATTTATTTATAGTATACATAAATATATGTATTTTTTGGATTAAATGTGACCTGTTGACATTTCAAAGCCATTTCAGAGGAGGTTACCCTCTCTCAGAGCTTCTCTGGGCTGTGGCAGCATCCTGAAGTAATAAATAGTCATTGTGGGCTTTCCCCTTGACCTTGCAGTTTATCTCTTCAGTGTGTCCTACTCTGTGAATACTGAGAAAGAGAATTATTTTTTATTCTGAAAGACAAGTGTGGCTTAAGACTGGACATCGAGTAAAGTCTGCAAATGGAAAGAAAATGCATGTAGCATTATCCTCAACTTGAATATTGTTTGTGTCTCTGCCACAGAAGTGTGGTAAAATGGCTCTTCTGGGGGAAACAGAGCAGGAGAGGTGGTTTCCCTCCAAGACCACACTGAAGAGCTTGTATTTTGCTTCCTTTTCTTTCCCCCCATTCCCCTCTTAAGCAAAGAGATTCCTCAGGCAATAGAACAATGTTTTGATTCCAATTCAGTAACACCCACCAAGAGTTACTCTGTGCAAGGGAATAAACTCTGTGTGACAGAAACCATGGTTTCTCTAGGGTGCCTGGGACATAGTTCCCTGAGTCTTGGTCCCAGGTTGCTGAGGACTTAGGTCAGTGTGGGTCTGATCAGTCAGCACACCCCCTTCTGGATGCCACCTTACATTTACTCTGATTTTCATCAAAATTGCTGTATCTCTAAAGCAATTTTGTTTCGCACATTCTGGCCTTTCTTCCCTTCAAATTACTATGCAACCAATGTCAGGTAGTTTCTTGTCAATGAATTCCAAAATTAGCACTTCTAAAATCTACTTTTGAATTTTATTTCTTTTACCTTTCTTTGACAGCACAAATCTCTCTCTCTCTCTCTCTCTCTCTCTCTCTCTCTCTCTCTCTCTCTCTCTCTCTCTCCTTGCTCATCTCTGCTAATTAGTTAATGTTTCTTTCTTAGGTTACAGAAAAGATGGAAAGGTCTAAGTAGGGGACTTTTTAATACATGGCTTTTAAATAATGGACTATAAGTCCCATTTTGAAGCCCCACTGAGAAGCCCCACTTTGCCAGTGTGTCTGTGTGGGGGGTGGGAAAGCATTAGGGAGACACCAAGATGGCAGTATTAAGTCCTCTCCCATAAATGTGTTGAGCGCGCCATCTGGTGGCTGAGAATTACAGAAAGGAAGAAAACCTGAAGCTCCCAGGAAGACACACAGCTCAGGGTTGGGCTGGCTTCCCCTCTTAATGAAATTCTGGTCACTAAAGTGTCTGTATTTGAACTTTACTAGTGCACAGGTGACAAATGTGGTGTACATTGTTAGGAGGCTGGTGGAAGACTTGTGATATTTAAGAAAAAGGACAAGGCTTTAAGGACCTATTAAGAAAGGTAAAAACTACTACTACAAAATTACTCTGGAAAGTAGGATTCTAAAAGTATAATAAGTGCTGTGGTTGAGTAAACAAATGAGATTCGTCTATGAATATGGGAAATATAAAAAGGTATTAAAGGAAGAGAAATAAGAGAAAGTGTGGGAAGAAAATAAAAGGGAGAGGCAAGAGAACACATGTTTTGTAGGTGGGTCAATTTTACCACTACCACTTACATTTGTGTGAAAGTAGGGAATGTATTTAAACTCCCTAGGCCTCAGTTTGTCCAATGGGAATAATTCTACCTATCTCCCAGGGATATTAGGAAGATTAGATAAAAGAATATATGAAAGTGCCAAGCCCAGAGCCTCACCTAAAAATGCTCAATAAATGATAGTTGTTATTAGTAAGGAGAATAGAAAGAAGAGGAAAGACCTTGAAAGGGATAGTACAGAACACACTATGCTTTGAGAAAGGATATAACATCAGGACTGTATAACAAGGATGCCAAACTCAAAGGCTCACACGGGCCAAATAAACAAGGTTTAAGTTTATGTGGGCCACAAAAAAAACAAAAGCTTCAATTTTCATAGAAACATAGGTTTATTTTGATAGAGACATGCTGAATACAAAGGGCTGAAATAAATGAGTAATCATTAACATAGAATAATAGAACATTTTAATAAAAAGTAATATTTTTTCTTGAACATTAACTTACCAGACACTGAATAACTGCACAAATGAATAAGTGTAACGCAAATAAACCTATTTTTCTTGTTCTCCGAAAGTGAAATATTTCCTGTTGCGCGCACCAAACAAGTAAGTACAAGATAATGACATGGCAATGGCTGCTAAAATATTCGTTACTAGTATTGGTGGAGAAAAATGGTTCGCCTGCATAGAAGGTGTGTAAAGGAAATGAAAGCAACATGATTATAGTAATCAGTCAGTCATTAGCAAATGTTGTAGTTTGTTATTAATGATTATGTATAACAGGATATTGTAAAAATTAAGTTACGAAATTTTTATTAAAATGTTTCTTACATATCATTATATTGGCTGGGCTGCAAAAATATTCATTGTGGGCTGCATGCGGCCTGCGGGCCACAAGTTTGACATGCCTGCTGTATAACTTAGCACAGGCATTTGATCAACGTAAGAGGTGAAGCCCATGAAAGGAAACACCTTCTCTGACTGGACAAAGGGTCTGTGTCTGAAGCCCACCTTCATTGCTGCCGTCACAAGAGTCTGTGAGGGCTCCATAGCAGGGCCTTCCCTCTGGGCACCCCTTGGTCCTCAAGCTGTGGGCTGAGTGCCTTCCCCTCAACCCCCTACAGGTCTTCAATTCCATGCTGGGAGCTCATGTGAAGGAAAGGCATATGACCCGTTGGAGATGGGCTGATCAAGGGGTAGCCACAAAGGACCAGGCTTTATTCTGTGAGAGTCGCCACTGGCATGGCCTAGTTTGCAAAGGGCATTCTGAGAACCCTGGCTCACCATGGTCTCAGGTAATTCATACCGATGGAATTCTCTTAGAAAAGCTGGACAAAATGTTTGTATAACCTGAGGCACCTTTCCACCCATCTAAAAGCTGAATCCCTATGACAGACTCAGGAGATGGACACAGCAACCTCAGTCTCTGTGGAACCTGATATGGCTATTTCGAAGGATTGTCTAAAGCCCTATAGATACCTGAAGCTTTTGGAGAGCAACACACACACACACACACACACACACACACACACACACACTCATGCCTCTGAGGAAGGTCTTAGCCTACCATTCCTAGGCAGAACCCAGAACTGTGCCCCTCCCCTGATGCAATGGCCGACTGGTCTCAGGGGAACAACAGCTATTGCCTGCATTTCTAACCTTTTACCAGCTTCCTTCTATGCCAAGGAGAAAACTAGGAGCAAGAATACAGTAATATGATCTCCAATTAGCATAAAATAAAAACAACCCAGTCATGTTTTCCACGGGCTTTTCCAACCTCAAACTAAATGCATGAAGCAAGGAGAAAAAGATAAAAATATATTCATGGAACTATAAATATATATATGCTATCTCTGTGTGTGCAGCCAAGCACCCCGACCCAAATGATTATCCGTCTCTAGGAAAACCAAGCAGAAATCTGAGAATTTTCTCGTCCCGAAGTGCAGTGTGAGTACAGACGGGGAGGAAGAATATCCTGATTACTCGGTATGGAAGGGGTTAAGTCCTCAGCCATCCTATTCTAAAGTGATTTATGATGATGGGTAGTGTTTCAAAACTTTCCCCCACCCAAAGAACAGCCTCTCCCTCCTCACCGAGTCCACTCTGGACGTGCTGAAATGGGAAGGAGGCGGTGTTTTGCTGATCTGTTAAATTCTTAGTGAAGTTCCCTTGATTTCCAGTGGCTGCTGTTGTTTGAGTTTGGTTTGGATAAAAACTGAGGTTGTCCTGGCATTCCTGGGACTGAATCCAGGCAAGAGGAAGAAGAAAACGAAGCAGAAGGAACGAGGAGGGGAAAAAAGGTGGGGAGAAAGAAAGGGAGGAGAGAGGCGCAGGGAAAGAGAAAAAGCCTATTTTCAACATCACATTCCTGTGTTTTCCCTCAGCCTGGAAAACATATCAATCCCAGTGCCTTTCTGCTCGGAAACAAAGGGACTAAGCCAGACTGTGGGGGAAAGGGTGATAAGAAGGATCCTGGAACTCTAAAGAGAGCAAAGAGGGAGACGCAGGGGCTTCCTGTCTGTTCGCACAGGGATTGGCACACACAGACACAAGACCCAGCAGAAACGACAGAAAAATGGAGATGCAAAGACGTAAAAGGACAGCTCCTGTCACCTCATCCTACTTGTCAAGAAGGTAAAGAGACAGCCTGAGAGAAAAGAAGAGAGCCGCTGAGCCCTCAGGTCAGGACAGGCGACTGGGGCTGGAGCTGCAGCGTGCCTCAGCCTCGCAAAGGAGGCAGAGGGTTGGGAGGAAAAGCATTTCATCTAGGAAACTGTCCTGGGACCATACTTCAGATTGCGCTTTAAACCCCCGGCATTCCATCTCCATGAGCCACAGTGTAAGTGTACAATCCTTTCTGTCTTTGGTGTGATTGTTTCTTTGTTGCTTGTTTGAAGAAATGAAATGAGACTCTTGTCATAATTAAT